GGTGATTACTTTGCTTTCACAAAATGGATTTTGGCTGCGAGTCAAGAAGAGCTCTTGCTTCCCAGCTAAACGACGGCAAATCAATTTGAGGTCTCGGCTGGAGCTGCTGATTAGGGCTGGCAGCCAGGGAGCCTCTGGCTGTTGGAGCCATAGCAAGGCTCGGCCAGGCCTTGGAGGAGGTGGCAGGCAGGAGCCGGGTCTGGCCTTGGGGCCCAAGAACCCAGCCTTCTCTTATGGGGCAGAGGAAGCCTAAAGGCGACTGCTGGCCAGGTTTGGGAGTGCGATCTCCATTTATTTAGAGCTGTAATATTAATAGTATTAGTCGTCATTTATTTCTAACTTGCTATGTGCTGGGCCCTTTAATACACTGGTTGCAATAAGTAGGCAGTGCAGGTATTATTATCCTTTTGTATGGAGGCCCTGAGGGGAAAATAATATGCTCCAGGTCAAATGGCTTCAAGATAACAAGGCAGGGTTGGAACCGGGTCTGGGGAAAAATCCAAATGTTTGCTCCTGATGCCCTGCTGTGCGTTGGTTTGCATGTCTGGACTCTGAGCTCCCATGACCATGTCACACCCAGGTCTGAAAAGCAGCACCTCACCCAGGGTTTGGGGTGGGGATGGCTTTTGGGAAGGGTTTGCTGAAGGCTGGAGGGAAAGAGGATGTGCATAGATGAGTGGAGGAGTGTTTGCTGAGTAGGGGCTGCAGGTGGGCTGAGGTAGGCATTGTGAGGTGGCAGCCTCCACGATGGCCTCCAACCCCCAATGATCTTCCCTCCTGGTGTTAATGCCCTGTGTAGTGTCCTCCCACATTTAATGAGACCTGGTCTGTTAACCAACAGAACACTGTGTGGAGGTGATGGCGTGTGGCTTCTGAGGCTAGCTCTTAAAAGATGTTGCAGCTTCCACCTTGCTCTCTTGGATTGCTCAGTCTGGGGCAGGCTTGCTGCCATATTGTGAGGACTCTCAAGAAGCCCTCCAGAGACGCCCTCCAGGAAGAGAGCCTCCTGCTAGCAGCTGGCACCAGCTTGCCAGCAATGTGACCAGGCCATCCTGGAGGTGGATCCTCCAGCCCCACTCAAGGCTTCGGATGAGACTGCAGCCCCAGCTGACATCTTGATGGCAACTTCATGAGAAAGCCCAATCCAGAACTACCCAGTCAAGCCACTCCAGAATTTCTGACCCTCAGAAACTGTGAGAGAAAAGAAATGTTTATGGCTTTAAGCCGCTAAGTCTTGGGGTAATTTGTTATGCAGCAACAGATACCTAATAGGCATTGCTAAGTCTCTTTTGAGCTGAAGAGAGCTTCCTGGAAGAGACAGTTATTCCCTTCTGTCCCCCTTCTCTCTTGCAACCCTTGCCTCTCAGCTTGCCTTGTGTCACAGCGAAAAGACAGGAGACAGATTTGGTTTTAAATTCAGGCTTCCCAATTTACTGTTTGGATGACTTGAGGATTTTTATTGAAACTAATCTTCTCCTTATCCTTTCCACATCTTCTCTCTCCTTTCCTCTACTCATCTGGTCTTCAATCTTGCCATAGTAATAGCAGCATTTCATAGTAATGGCAGTCATGTTTTAAGTACCTGCTATGTGCCAGGCACTGTGCTAGGGGATCTACAGACATTATTTTATTTAATAACCTCAACGACCTTGGTGGTGGTGCTGGGGTTAGACATTATTATATCAGTGCTTTTTAAAAAGATAAGGAAACCAAGATTCAGAGCAGCTGAGTCATCTGCCCAAGACCAGACAGAAAGAATCAGGATTCAAAGACAGGTTTGTCTGAAAACCAAAGCTTATGCTCATTCCCATTTTATGCCTCTAATTCTGAGCCTCGGTGTTCTCATGTGTAAAACGGGCATAATCCTGACTTCACAGATTCCTGTCAGGATGGACAGGGGTGGGGCCTTTCAAGCAACAGCCCTGTGGATGGCCTATTGTGGGGGCCTAGTAAGTGGAGGCCCCCTTGCCCTTCTTCCCTTTGCTCCCCCACTTATGGACTTTAGGGTGGGCCTCTTGACCCTCATGGAGGCAGGGTCGTGCCCAGTGCCTCTCATTCCGAGAGCAGCCAGGGGTTGATGTGGCTGAGAGCTGGAGACCACTGGGCCTGCCCCGGGATGGGGTGGGCACCCTGGACCTGGATCCAAGGAGAGGGTAACATCAGCTCTGGCCCCACCCAGCGAGTCTGTACCATGTGCCATCTCTGTGCCCGAGCACACATGGAGAGGAAAGGAGGCAGGAGTCTGCATTCACACTCAGGTCAGTGCCCACAGAGAGGCTGGTGTGTAGCGACGGCTCCTGCTGGAGGATCCTAGCTGAGAAAACACTGTCCTCGGGGGGGTATCAAATCATCTCTTAGATCAGGCAAGAAGCCCCAATTAATTAGAAGTGCTAAGTGAGTGGTCTGGAAGCAAGGTTTTGCAGTCAATTAAAGAGATGCTGGAGGAGGCTTCATTAACCCCCTGCCTCCTGGCAGCTTTTGCTGTAGGAGTCAGAAGGACCCGTCCGATGGCCAGGAGCGCCCCCGCACTGTGGGGAATCCAAGCAGAGTGTCGTCCACCAAAGACGGCGCAGAAGGGGCTCCTGGGCTGCATGGGAGGGTGGATTCGACTTCAAATCCTCTCCCCATTCCAGGCATCTTGATTTCCTGTGCTTTGATCCCTGTGGTGAAGTAAATGGTCAAGACACCGCTCCATTTGGGGGCTAGCCCACGCAAAGCACGGATTGTGCTTCTTCTGTCCTTCTCCAGCGTGGAGAGAAGACAGCCCACTGGACTCTCTCCAGGCACCTCAGTCCCACTCATTATCTTCTGCCGAACCTGTCTCCCACCAGTGTTCTGGATCTGGGAGAACCGAGCCTGATGGGGACAAAGGCAGTGGCCCTCTCCCTCCTCCTCAGCTCCTGCCGGTTTGCCCCCCTGTATAGCTCTCCAATCCGCCTACTTCTCCCAGTCCCTTCACCACTGCCTGAAGTCAGGCCTCACCACCTCCAACCTTGACCTTGCACCAGCTCCTTCCTGGGCTCTCGGCTTCTAGCCTCTTACTCCCAGCTCATCTTCCTCATAGCCCTAACAATCTTCCTCAATCTGCACATCTGATCATGTTACACCTCTGCTCAAGAGCCTTCAGTGGCTCCCCATTGCCTGCAAGTAGAGCCTGAGCTCCATTGCCTGGCACCCTGGTTGATGTGCCCAACCTCTCGGCTTTTCACCAAGAACTCAGTCAGTTCCTGCAGACATCCCCAGCTTCCCCCTCCCCACTCCTGCCTCCCATGTTAGACTACTTTCGTCTCCTCCAGCCCTTCTGCCCGGAGTACCCTCCTTCTCCACAGCCTCACTCCTCCCTTTGCACACGGAGCTCCCTGACTCCAAGAGTCTGGGGACCTGCTGCCCCAGGGGTGCACTGGGCCAGGGCCATGGGCAGCTCTGGGAGAACAGGCAGGAAGGGCGATGTTAGGGCACAGAAGAGGGAGGGGTCAGCTTCTGCCTCTCTTCCCCGCACCATCCGTAGGCGCAGAGAGCTGAAGGGAAAGTGACTGTGGCCACTCTGTAGATGAAATGGAGACTGACTGCTTGGGCCCTGAGTCAGCACTGGGGTCCTGAGCAGCCACTCAGTGTGGGCTCGACTGTGTGGTGATGCTGGGAGGCAGGGGGCACCAGCCAGCCCCACCCTTACAGAGCCCTCAAGTTAGCGAGGGTCTGTGCAGAGATGTAACTCACAGTAGAATCTGCAGAGGGCCGCTCACCGAATGCTTGGCAGGCAGTCCTAAGAGGGTGCGTGCAGGACCCCGCTGCCTCCCCACAGCTGCAGAGGTCAGAGCAATGACTACTATCCCATTTCAGTTGGGAGCAAACACTCAGAGGGGTTAAGTGCCTTGTTCAAGACCGCTTGTTCACTCTGATAGGTGCTGGAACCCACCAGCAAACCCAGCGCTATCCTAGCGCTCAGCCGTGGTGCTCTTTGTCATATAAGCACAGCAACAAACTGCTGTGGGCAGGGGCTGGGGCCTGTGTTGGGGTGGGCTTCACACAGGAGCTGATGCTGAGCTGAACCCTGAGAAGTTAGAGGGGTGTACCAGGGAGGGGGAGGGCGACATTCGTTCCAGGCAGAGGGGACAGAATATGCATCACGAAACAGCATGGTATGTGTGGGGACCAGGGGCACTTGGAGCAGAGTTGGGTGTGGGTCTGACCTAGCAGGCTGGGGTCATGTCACATAAGGCCATTTGGACAGTTTTGATGTTATCCCATAGGTCATTGAAGGGTGCTGGCCGGGGAGTGAGGTGGTTAAGTTTGTGTTTTAGCTGAATCTTTTAGGAGAGGTGGGGTGATGGGGAATGGGTGGGGTGGGGAGAGCATGGAAGGGAAGAGGTGGAGGCTGGGAGACTAGTGTGTGGGGAGTGGGGACTACCTAGCCAAACAGAGGGAAGATGAGCCCCAGCTTAAGGCAGGGCAATGGTGTGGGGCAGCCAAGAGAGGATGGGTATTCTGGTCTGGTCCTGACTCCTTAGCAAGGCCTGGGAAGTGTCTGTGTCAGGACCAATGCTGAGTGGTGTCCTCTCTTTGTGTCCCCAGCCTGCTGCACACTACCTGGCAGAGCAGGAACTCCACTGACGTTTGTGGGAATGACCAGTGACAGGCCTTTGCACATCCATGTCACTTGGCAGCATGTCAGGATGCCACACCCTGAGGAGCTTGGGGGGAAGGTGGCCAGAGATGGGGTGTGGGGTGTTGTGACCAGGCTGGACCACCAGCTCCTGGGGTGTACTATTGGCTTTGGAGGGTGGGAGGTAAGAGGGCCTCAGCCTCTGGAGCCAGCTCCCACTCTAGCCTTGACTGATTCCTGGGGTTGTTTCCACAGCGTCCTGGCCAGCAGTGAGGGTAAAACTGAAGGTTCTCTGGGGCCTCTTGAGCTCTATGGGTTGCGCCCCCCCACCGCCAGTTGGTGCCCCATGTAGCTGTGGTGGTGCTGACGGACAGAAGAGGACAGACAGACAGAGGGCTGCTGTACAAGGTGTTTTCTTTGTTGTCATGATTGGTTTGGTACATCTTAGCATCTGCGTCATACAAAGGGGGAGCGACAGCCATGGCTTTTGGTCAGGTTCAGGGGGCGTGAGGGAGTGTCCCTCCCCTCCCCCAGGCACTGACACATTGAAAGGAAGCAGAGCAACAAGGACACGGCACAGGTGTAGGAAAGGGATTCCCCCGCAGGAGCAGGATGGTCGTCCTCACCTGAGTCTCTCTAGGACCCCCACCCTACCCCGGGCCTGCCCGAGCACCTCCCATTCTGTCCCCAGCAAAGAGGGTGGGCAACAGGAGTGGGGACCAGGTGCAGGGAGGTACGTCCTCAGGCCTGGGAGACGTGCCCTTGTCTGAGCCAGTCGGACCCCCAGGTCCCCTGTCTAGTAAAGGCCTGTGGGACCCCAGAAAGATGGAGCAGTTGAGTGGTGGGGGTAGGCAACCCTGCCAGCTGGGTGCCGGGGGCTCTTGGGCTAAGGGTCTGCCCCATTTTACTCTAGCCACAAGCCTTCGGGGAGGCTGCCTTGCCCACCAGCTGCCCCACCTGAGGGGGCCTGGGCCGAAATACTTCTGTTCTGTCTCTTTCCCCTCTGCTCTCTTTCTTTCACACACACACACACACACACACACACCTCTTGACTTCCTGCGTTTGGAGGAGACCCCACACAGCTTTGCCGGTAAGGACCTTCCAGGAGCTTCTAGACCTGGAGTGGAGAATGTCCACGTGTGGAAATCCTGGCCTGTTGCCAGTGCCCAGCGTGGGAGATCCAGAGAGGTCCTGTCCCTTTGCTCTGGCGGTGAACTCCAGGCACACAAGCACGGCAGTGGCCTTCCTGGCAAGCTCACACGCCCACACTGGGTGGTGCGCACTCCCTTGCCTGTTTTCACCCATGCACAATGACTGCTCCTTCCTCTCTCCCTAGCCGGGGGATGTCTCCCTATGTGTTGTGTGTGTGTATGTGCATGCTGACTTCTGGGCTCGCTCCCTCCCTGCCCCTGACTCCTAAGTGTGTCATGTGCATGTTGCCCCATTTGTGGGTGACACACTCACCCCCCTCCCACCCAGTGGATCACACTCCTCCCACCCCAGGTACGTCCTGTGAACATCCCTTCCCTGCTAGAGCATCCCACACATATTTTGTGCCCCCCTCAAATGTGCTGCACACGACATCCTCTCTGGGCCATACATTAGCTTCTCTCCACAGCCAGGTCTGTGTCAGGAATGACAGTCATCGTGTCCCCCTGGACCCAAGAATGATCACCTGGCAGTGGTTGGAGCCAGGTATGCTCCAGGCAGAAATTCCTCCCCTGTTCCCACCTCCAGGAAGACCGCCAGTCCTGCTGCTTGAGAGTAGGCTGGAAGAGTCTGGAGGAGTCTGGGACTTGCACCAGACTAAGCCAGTCAGTCTGGAGGGCACTCTCACATGGGAAAAGCCCTGAGCCTGCTCTGAGGGTGCAGAGGAACTGTGGAGACGACCACCAGGGATGCCCTCTGAGGGTCTGGGGTCCCTCAGGCCCACCTGGGATATCTTGTATGGCTAGGTTCCCCTGATCACCTGAAGCTCCCTGGGCCTTAGTCTCTGCTGCCCATCTGGCACTCTCTGTGCCCTGGCACCACCTTCGAGGTTTGTGGGCCCTTGTCAAGGGGGAGACCTTTCTGAACACTTGCAATTCACTCCTGTGTCCAGGTGGGGCTCACATACAGGGTCTGGGGAGGTCTGGGGTCCCTAAACTAGGCCCTGCCTGTCTCTGCCCCAGGGCTCTAGAGAATGACCATCCTGCCCAGGATAACAGACACAAAGAGACAAGCAGACAACAGGGGTGCAAGGTGGCTCCCCATCACAGACACAGGCACAGACACAGGCCCCCTGCGGGGCAGGACACAGGGGCACAGGGGAGGGGACGGGGCGGGGGAGAAGGGCAGGTCTAGGGAGCTGGCGCTGTTGAGGCCCTGCTCCCTGAGAAGGGATAGACCAGGGGACTTTTCTGGTTCCCTAAACATATGGATTGTTTTGTCTCGTCTTTGAAGTATTGCAGTCTAACTGATATGGCTTTAACTATTGGAAACGGACAGAGGAGACACACGTCTCTCTCTGAAATAAAAGCATAAATCCACTAAAATGGAAAACCTGCAGAATGCAAACTGGTGCCAATGGAGCAGGGGCTCTGGGGGCAGGCAAGTCGCCCCCTCCCTGGCCCCTGCTTTTGGGGTGGGCCCTGGCGGGGGCCCAGCATGGCTTCTTGGGGCACTGCCTGGGTCTGTCCCAGTAGATTTCTGAGGACCCAGGCAGGAACCCCTCAAGGGCAGGAGGACTCTAGGCCAAGGACAAGGTCTCCTGTTGGATGTGGCAACCTGTGACCAATGGTCTTGGGGCCCAGAGGGGGCATCTTACTCAAGTTCTTTCTCCCCAAGCACATGTCCTTCCACACAACTGCCTTTTCAGACCCACACGCATGCACACGACAGTCTCAGCACATCTCACAACTCTCTCAAATACACACATCTACAACATCTAACACATACCCATCACTCCTGACACACATGCTGTTTTGCAAACACATGTAGATACAAGCTAAAATACACATGAGATGCCTAGCACACATGTATGACACAGTCTCGACTCATACACACCACCTTGAACAAGCCCACATACACAAGGCTACCTAGCGTACACAGTCTCTAACACAGGGATATGATGACCAACACACATACACCATCTCAAGACATACACACACTCTAAACATACACATATATGTACAATCTCTGGACACACAATTGCTGATGCAGTCTATGCACTACAGACTTGTGCATGCATGGACACACACTTTCCTCTCTCATGTGCTCCATGGCCCCCCAGTTCTCACACAACTGACTGAGCAGGAGGCCTTGAGAATTTTTGGGGTGGGGGACAAATGCTAGTCTCACACATCCCAGAGGAGAGTTTGTTCTTGGCCAAGGAGATGAATGGACAGATGCCTCTGCTGAGTGGGAACTGGCTTCTCCCCAAAGGCTTGGGGTTTTGGGCAGGTAGGGTCCTCCTGGGGACCACGGGGCTCTGGAAACACATGGATAGGACAGGGTAGGAAAGAGGGGTGGATAGGAATGGGGGCAGCTTGGCTGCACCAATGGGAGGATCCCACGGCATGGGCCATTGCTGCCCAATGGCTCCGAGTGTTTTCTGGGGGGCCTGGGCAGCCCCTTGGCTGGGCAAGCTGGGCCCAGCCTGGCAGTGGGGTCCCAGGACCTAAGTGGAGTTGGGGGGAACAAGGGGCTGCCCTACCCTGGGGCCCCTCCACAGATGAGTTAAAGTCCAAAGAGGATCCATTTGGAGGGACTGGCTTGGCAGGGGCTATGCCTCGTCAGCTGGGGGAGGGGTGCTCCTGGACTGGGTGTCTTCAGGGGGACGGAAGAATAAGAGCCCCAGCCTTCTGCCCAGACCCAGGCCTGGCCAGAATACAGTGGGGCCTCTCAGGCCGGGGCCCTCACAGTGCAGGCTTGCCCTGACTCCCTTCCTCAGAGCCAGGCCATTCAACGCCCCTGCCCTGACCTGAGGGTCAGAGGCCCAAGGTCAGCATGCTGGGCAGGGCTGGAATGTGTCATTACTTTGGCTGGCTGGGGACAGTGGTCCTCCTGGCAGTGGGGCGCATGAAGGAATGTAGGGGGGTTACCGCACTAGCATAGACCTTAGGCTTCTGGAGGGGGCCCCCTGTGCCTCCCGCTTTGGGTTCCACGCCCCCTTCTGGGGAAAAGCTGTCTTCACTTTTTCTAGCGACTTGGGAGTGAGGTGGGGGCTGGATACCCTGGGATGAAGGGGGTATGAGGGAGTGCTCAGGGGGGGAGCCCCTGGCCCGGGAAGGAGGGCGGAGGCCAACTGAGGTTTTCCCCTTCAGAACTGAGACTTAACTGAATAAAAAGAAAAGAAAGAACCAAAAAAAAAAAAATTAGTAACAAGTAGAGTGGGTCGGGGCAGGAGGGCCAGTTACTTCTTGAACATGTCCTGCAGCGGCCCGGGCAGGTACTTGAGCACCGTGTCCAGGATGCTCTCCTCCTCCTCCTCCTCCTCGTCCCCGCAGCCCGCAGGGATGGCCTTCTTGGGCCGAGTCAGGCTCCCCTCGCAGGGCTGCTCCAGGGCGGCCTTCTCCTCAGCCTCCTTCTCCTCCTTCTTCTTCAGCCCATACTGAGGAGGGGAGGGCAGAGAGGAGCATGAGCGGGGGCAGACAGCTGGGTTTCAAGCTCATGCAGACTTGGCTGGGGCAGCTCATGGGAACTCTGGAGCATCAGTCCTCTCATCATAAAATGGGGACAGGAACCCCTTCCTTGTAGGACTGCCCCGTCCTCAGGAGGCGCTCAGTCAGAGAGACAGCACATAGCGTTTCCTTTAAAATTGACGCCTGCTCATAATAACTTCTCTGCACTTTTGAAATCCCCTGAGATCTGAAAGCTGAAAGTTCTCCCATATGTTTGGGGCCAAATTTCGGTGACAAAACACGACACGAACCGATGGAAGGCTACTTATAGCCGTGATTTATGGCAGTGCTGGGACCAGACACGCACTGAACTGTGTGGCACAGCGCGGCAGCCCCAGACTCACCGGGAGTGACGCGTAACTGTAACGGGTGCTCAGGGCACTATGGTACTTTCCAAAAGTCCCCAAATTCTGGACTCTAAACATATTTGGTCTCTAGGGTTTCGGGTATGTGATCGTGGACCCGGAGCCGAAAACATGAGGGAGCACTTCCTATGTGCATCATCTTATTTAATCCCACAACCATTCTTGAGCGAGGTGTTCCTGCGACACCCATTTTTCTGATGAGAAGAGTGAGGCTCGGAGAGAGCTAGGTATAATGTGAGGGCTGGGATTCAGAGCAGCCCGAGGCCCGGGCTGGGGGGACCCGTTCTACCCCGGTGCTCCCCACTCTCTGGCGAGGGCAGGCGGTGCTGACCTTGTCTCGGATCTGCTGCCGGACCTTCTCCCGCTCGGCCTCCATGCGCGCGTGCTTGGCCTTGCGCTCTTCCTCCTGCTGCCGCAGCGCCTCCTGCCGTTCCTCCTCCTTCTTCTGCGCATCCGGGTCCTTCTCCTCCTCTCCTCCCAGCATCTTCCCCATGTCCTTGGTGGCCCCTGCGCCGGATGGGTTGGGAAGGGAGAGGGCGGGGTCACGGTGGGCCAGGGCTGGGGATAGAGGGGACTGGTGCCCTCGGGCCTCCTTCCACCTGGGTTGGAACCCCACTTGCGGGTGAGGGGTGCGGGGCGCGGGGCGCGGGTCTCACCTCCGAGGGCCTGCTTCATGACGAAGTCCATGCCTACGACTCCGGTTAGTGTCCCCTAGCCTGCAACCAAATTTGCATGCAGCGCTCCCGGCAGGCCTGCCTCAGGGAGATGTGGCAACCTGCAAAAGAGGAGTTGGGGGTCAGGTGGGAGAGGCCTCTGCGCAGTCAGGGCTGTGGAGTTACACAGACGGCAGCCGCACCGTGCTTCAGGCACGGGCACCCTCAGTCTGGGGCCAAGACCCAGGAAACGAGACAGCAGGGGGCTGTTTCCTGAGCAGCCGCTATGTCCAGGCACGTACGTGCTGCCAAACGGCGTCTGAGTTTAAAACCTTCGGCTTGACCGTACTGCTTTAACTGGATTGAAGCCAGCAGCGTTAGAAAGAACCTGGAATTGGAGTCAGGCTGAGCTGGGTTCTAATGCCACCCTCGCTGCTTGTTTGCCATGTGACCTTCAGCCCGTTAGTGAGCCTCCCCCGAGCCCCAGTTTCCTCCTCTCTAAGGTAGAAATGGCACTGCCTCCGTTCCCAGGGCTGCTGTGCAGACTGGAGAGAATCCAGCCTGGGCCGCTGGTCGAGCCCCTGGAGAGGACCAGCCTGTGCTCAGGGCCCACGCACATCGGCGCGGGGGGTGGGGAAATGAGAACAGCCAGCGTGCAGGAGCACATCCAGACTCCGAAATTAGACAAAGGGAGAAATCAGTTATTTTTATTGCAGCGTACTGTAAGTTTTGTGTTTTATAGCTTAATATTGATTTTTATTTTGAATTACACATGGGGGAGGGGTTGGAGACGTGATAATGTTCTTGGGGCTTAGGGCCTTTAAAGTCCCAAGCTCGCGCCTTAGAAGCACTCAGCTTATGTTAGTTCTCCTTCCCTCTCCCTAAATCACTGACTTTCCGTTTTTATTGTATTTTTATTATTTTTTTGCCTCTGAAGATTTTCTTCAAATAAAATCTTAATGGAAATCTCAATATGCAAAATGCATAACCGTGGCACTATTCCAGTGTTGGGGGGAGGAGGGCAGAGAGCCCGGAGCCTCCCTCCCCCCAGCTTCCTTCTTCCCCTCTTCCCCATCCCTGAGAATTTGAACCATGATGTCTGACTCTTAGAGATTTCCTTTTTATTTTAACCATTGAGTTTCACTGGTTCTCTCACAGGCAAAGCCACCACAAATCCCTTCTCAGCTGTGGATGGGGACAGCCATAAGCTATCCAAAGTGTGACGTGGCTTGATGGTCAACTGAGGCCAGGCCTACTCCCCAAGGCCTTTCATTCCACACAGTCCTGGGGTCTTTATGATTTGGGAGGAGGAAAAGGGGGTCCTGGGAAATGGGGGCACAGAAGGCAGGCCAGATATTGCAGCTAGGTTGAGTTCAAGGTCACTGGGTGTTTGTTGATGGATTTTTCCTCATTTCTTTCAAAATGAGAAAATACATTGGCAGACTGAGATCTTTTCATAAAATGGGTTCCAATAGTTTATTTGATTCTACTCATTTGATTCTATTGATAAATATTTATTTATTCCGATATTTATTTGAGGACTTCTAAACCATCAGACCACCTGATAGGTTGTTTTGAGGAGGAAAAGTCATGATGGAAGAGAAAAGCATCTCCAGGGACTTTGACGTCAGACACCTGGCTTCGATACTCCCGTGGCTGTGGCTCCCTGGGAAAGCTTCAGTTTCTTCCCTGCAAATGGGGAGTAGTAAGCCGACCCTCGTGTTGATGTTTGAAGGAGAAGGGAAGAGACTGGTCAAGTGCCTGGTGTGTAGCAGTGCTCATTACTGTTAGCTGTTGCTGACTGCATTTTTATGAGGACACGCCAAAAGGGAACAGGATTTCCAGGAAATGCAAGAGAACCCACTCTGACCCAGAATTCTGAGTTTGAAGGCGGCTCAGCTCAGTCAATCAAGATGTTTTCATTTGATTCAGAACGTTGCAAAGAGACTGCATTTCTAAGAACAGGAAATGAACCATTTAATAATCAAATGATTTCAGGAACTATTGGGTTTCTCCTCTGTGTGTACACGCAGCTCAAGGAATTGCCAGGTGGTGGTGGAGGATGCAGGACTCTAATTTGAGATGTTTCAAATTGGTCCACGGGGCACCTGGCTTTTAGGTCCAGCCTCCTCCCTGACTTGCTGCTCTGACAAGTCTCTGCTGGGCCAGATGATCTTCTGGGCCCTTTCTGCAGCACTTGTGTTAGAGCAGTTCTGCAGCTCTTGAACTGCTAGCCGCCCCACTGTATCCTCAAATGCCTCTCCTCTCCTGGTTCTGTGACTAGTTTTTCACTTCCCCATCTCCTATTGTTCTCTCTCCTCTCCTGCTGCTTCCTCTCCCCTCCTCTTCCTCTCTCTCCCTCCCCCCCTCCCCCCCACCACCCGCTTTGCTTTGCTGGCTCCTTTTCTTCTCTTGTCTCTTCAATAAATGTGTTCCCCAGGACACTGACCTCAGCCCCTGCCTCTCTTTCCACACTAACCTTTCCTTGGGGGAACGCATCCTTTCTAAGGGCTTTAGTGGCCGCTGACACTGATGACACCTAGATGTCTTATCTGGGCTCCTGGCTCCTATATTCATTCATCCAGTAAGTAGTAGTTGAGCACCTACTATGTGTCAGGCACTGTGTTAGGCTAGTAACACGCTGGGGATATACTAGTAAGCAAGACAAAGTCCTCCCCTCATGCAGATTACATTCCTGGGTGTATGTAGTGTGAGTGTGTGTAAGGAAATAGGCAATAAATAAGTCAAGAAGTACACTTGCCTTCCCCTTGCACACCTCCCCCTGAACGTCCCATGGGCACCACTCAAACTCAGCATGATATCTCTCTATCACCAAACCACCTCCTTCTCCAGACTTCCCTGCTTCCATGCATTCATTCAGCACACGCTGATTACCACCACCGCCCCCGTAGGCAGAGTACATCTACTCAAGGGCTGAGTCTTCTCAGTGCTCACACCCTTACATCCCTCTTGCTCCAGGTGCCTCCTACTCGGGGCCCTCTGGGATTCTTTGGCCGAGCTTCCTGGGCCCACCCCAAAGTCCTGCTGCTGACTCCCAACATGGGCCCCTCAGCTCTTAAGCAATTTGTTCATCCTGTCAAGACTGCCCTAACCAGTTTCTCAAGGCCGGACCTACTCCAGTCCCATCCCTTTCAGCAGGTGAGTTCCCTCCCACTTCATGTGGTGCAGTGGAAGGCTCATGAGCTAGGGGGTCAGGCACGTCTGACTCGGATCCTGAATCTGCTACTTTTTAGTTGTGTGATAGTAATTCACTTAACCTCTCTGTGTCTTGGTCTTCTTTACAAAGTGAGGATTAGAATACTACTTTGAAGGGTTAGAAGTAATCTGTGGAATGTGTTTGGCACATGATAGGGGCTCAATAAATGGTGGCTATTGTCGTTATCAAAAGGATTAATGCCAGCTAGTGTGAGCTCCTGGGACCTCCCCTCCTAGCTCCCAAGGAAGAGGTCTCCTTTCTTCCTGTTGAAGCCAATCCTCTGCTTGTGCTCCAGATTTTCTCTCCTCATGCCTCCTCCTTGACCCATCATCACTTCCTCTTCCTCACGTCTTCAATTTCTTCTCCATAGGTCTCTTTTATCCCCTTCCTTCTCCAACTCCTGCTCTGGACCCCACCTTTCCCTTAATCTCTGCCCTCCAACTTCATGATGGAGGGGTTTCCACTTGGTGCCTCCACTCCTTCACCTCCCAGTCAAGCCCTCCAGCCCTGTGAGATCAGAGATCTGCTGCCTCTGCACTGCCACTGAAACTGCCCTAGTCAGAGCTGCCAGAGGCTCCTGAACGCCAGACCAAGGAGCGTTTCGCAGCCTCCTCGTCCTCCATCCCTCTGTGGCATTGGATGCTGATGATGACCCCTACCCCCACCCCTTCCACCATCCAACCCCCATCCCAGGCCTTCCTGCTTTTTTCAGCCTGCTTCTTGAACCTCTTGACTTCCATTACATAGCACTCTGTGGGCTTCATCCTACTTTTCAGACACATCCTCTCTCTCTCCTTGGCTGACTCCTTTCCAAAATGTAGGTGTCCCCCAAGCAATCTTTCCCTCTCCTGCCCCTTCTGCTGCCCCTCCCTCTCCCATTGTCTCCCTTGGGAACCTCGCCTACCGCTATTGGTTTAGTGCCCTTCTTTAGCCATAGACAGCTCTCTCTGTCTCCCCAAACCTGCACATTTAACTCTGAAGGATACTGTCACATGGATAATCTCAAACTAAATCTGTCCAAAGATCAATTTCATCCTTGCCTCCCCTACCCAACTGTCTTTTCCTCCAGCATGGCTTGTTCCAATTGCCTCAACCAGAAACTCCAGAGTCAGCGAATTCTTCATTCATTCATTCATTCACTCACTCACACTGCCAGTATTCTTTGAGCACCTGCTCTCTGTCGGTCCCAGCATTTGCTTTCACAGCAGTCAGTGAGCTGGGAGGCAGACACTGGACAAAAACCACACAAGGAATTGGTGAGTTACAATTCATCCGGGGTGCTGAGGGAGAAGTCTGGAGACTGTAGCTTCACAGTGCTTCCTGCATTCACACCTCACTCTCCTACAGCTGCTGATGCCTTCGTTCAGGGCCTCGAGGTTCTGGATTTGTGCATAACCTCTAACTCTGTCCCTCCTTTAGCTCTCATCCATCCTCCACGTGGCTGTCCGATTAATCTTCCTAAAGGGCAGAACTGCTCATGCAAACACGCCCTGCAATGGCTCCCCGTGGCCTTGTTAAACCAGCTAGAGCCCTTGTGCTGACCTTCAAGTTCTGCACAGTCTAGCACCTGCCTGCCTTGCCATTCATTTCCCATCCCTGGCCCGTGGCTCTGCTTCAGCTACACCTCAACACATATTCTTTCCAAAAACCCCTGGGTATTTGTTCATGCTATTTCAACAGCCTTGGAACTTCTTAACCTCATCTCTGCCAGTTGAAATCCTGGCTCCACTACTTACTAAGTGACCTTGAGCAAGTGACTTAATCATTTCTCACCTGTAAAATGGAGACAATAACGCTATGCCCAAGGTGTGTGTGAGCATTAAAGGAGAGAATGCATTAAGTGAGAGAACGCTCAGCCCAGTGTTTGACACATAGTAGGTGTTCAGTACCTATTAACTATTGTCA